TTGGCCTGGCCCAGAAGCCTCCTCTGTCCTTCTTCCTGGCTTCTCATCATGTGGCCCCCCTCTGGCCCTTTCTGCAGCATGCCCCATCTGCCTCCTTATGCACTCACAGCATTGGTGGTTCCTACCTGGAGCCCCTTTCCTGGCTGTAATCCCTTTGCTCACTGTGGCCTCATAGCTGTGATTTCTTGCATAGGTCTCAGAACTCTGGAGTGAGGTCCCATGATCTCAGACTTTGCCCTGGTGTTTTTGGTCCTGCAGCAGACTCTGGCCTCTGAGCTCTCCTGAGATGGGGAGACTAAGAAAGGGTAGCCATGCTGGCTCTTTTCCCACTTCCTTCCCTATGTCCCATCCCTGGTGATTGCACCTGTAGAGGTGGGAAGGCACAGGGGAAGCTCTTAGGACCACAGCAGAAGCTATGTGGTCATCAGGCAGTACAGTTGGTCCCACTGCAGGGAGAAATAAGGCTTGGCATGTGCCTTATTCGGAAGGGGCCAGCCAGCCTTGTACCTGCTTCTTGCTTCTTGGGTGTCGAACTTCTCATGATTGAGAATGACAGATATTTAATTTTATTTACCTTGGGCAGCAAAAAGGCCCCGATCCTTTTATAAATCATAGGTCTGTGAAACTAGGTAACCCAAGGCCTTCAAGTACCCACCCCATTCTTCTTTCCTTTCCTCTCCTCTCCTTTCTCTCCTACCCTTTGCCTCTTTTTCCCTTCCCTCTTTTTCAACTTTATTTTTCACCACCATCTTTCCCTTCCTTCTTTTCATTTTTTTTCTCTATCAAACTCTCTCAACTCCCACCAGATATTCGTTGCCACTTAGCAGAAATAACGTATGTTGCTCAAAGGAAGAAAAAAATTGCTTTCTTGGGACATATAGATCAGAGACTTAGGCAAGGGATGTAGGTGGGTGGGATAGGGTTAAATATTGAACTCCTTATCAGGGACCATTGCATACTCTCTGCCACTGCCTGCCACTGATCCCTCTGTCCTCCTCAATCCCCATCCCCTGCTCCAGTGGTCTAAAGCTGTGACAATTTTTCTCCCGTGCCTGCTATGAGCTGAAGAATGGTGGAGAGCTGTTACTATTTTGAATGCCAGCAGTGCCTGCAGCATGGGAAATATGTAGGATGTGTTTTCTCTTATAACCACTGTGTGGCTGCTGGTGAGATCGTGCCCACCATCCTAAAACCTAGCATATATATCATTGTGTTATGATTTAAGTAAATGCTGGTCATGTTTTTATTAGAACAGTGTAATATGATGAAATGTAATCTATACTGTATTCTATTTTATCTTAGTTTAAACAGATATGTCCTACCTTGCTCCCCGCCCACCCTGTGCCACACATCTACAAATAAGTTTCTTTTGAATACTAACACCAGCAAAATCAGGAAACCCTTAGTCAGAGTGCTTAGGTGCCACTTGGTATTTAAAGCAGTAAGTTCAATGAGCCTTTAAATTCGTTGAGAGCAAATTATTGTTTTTTAAAATAATTTAAGTTTTTTAAACATGTTTCATGTTCTAGGCAATATTTATTTTTTAAATTATGTTTTTGTGCTAGGTTCTCTATAACAATTATATCCCAATATGAAGAATAAGAGCTAACCTCGGCCGGTCATGGTGGCTCATGCCTATAATCCCAGCACTTTGGGAGGCCAAGGTGGGCGGATCACCTGAGGTCAGGAGTTCAAGACCAGCCGGGTCAACATGGTGAAGTCGCGTCTCTACTAACAACACAAAAATTAGCTGGGCGTGGTGGTGCATCCCTATAATCCCAGCTACTTGGGAGGCTGAGGCAGGAGAATTGCTTGAACCCAGAAGACAGAGGTTGCAGTGAGCCAAGATTGCACCATTGCACTCCACCCTGGTAGACAGGAGCCCAACTGAGTCTAAAAACAAAAGAGCTAACCTACTGAATGCTTTTAAGTGACTTTCCTTAGTTTAATTTATCACCTTTCAGAGTGAACGAAGCACTGGCTCATATAAGTTATTTAGGAGAAAGTGAATATTTACAGTATTTAGAATGTCCAGATTCCTGCATTTTACCTTTGTATTTAGCTAGAAATTTCAAAATAAAAAATTGCAGCCTAACTAAGCACAAAATTCTGTATGTTTTGGGCAATTTCTGTCCTGAAGTTTTTATCCAACTACTTCAAATCACTTTAACCATTTGAACATAGTCATAAACCAAGAAGTCAGTGGTTAGAATTCCAGGTTTGCTAAAACAGTTTCCATCAATTACGGAACTGAAAAATCTGTTTACTTGGGCAAAAGACCTTGGACCTTCACTCACAATTTATATACTTAATTTTACATATGATTAAGCTGGGATCATCTGATTTCTCAGATTAAAAGCCGTTGAGAAGCTGCCACTTAGGTAATTAAGAGCAACAATGACTCAAAGGAGCTCTATCCAAACAGTAGGACAGGAAACAGAGAAACAACTGATTTTTGTAGCATCATGTTGTAGTCTTTAGGAAGACAAATACAGAATACGGTCTATATATTCTGCCTCAAAACGCAGGTATACATAATATATTTCAAGAGGATCTTTTAAAATTCAATATAGTTCAGTTAAAATCAGTTTTACAACTTACAGCACTTGACTCCATATATTACCATTTTCCGAACATTGCACTTAAATTATTCCATATGAATGATGTTAATGCATTTACATGAGGCTCCAGAAAGCTGAGACATAATGTATCTTAACCCACGGGTTCTCAAGGTCTTCTAGCCCAGATCCCTTGTTCAAAAAGGTAATTTGACTCAGAATCCTGATTTGTGAAACAAAGAAAGGAAGAGGCATTCCCGTTTCATTGAATGCATGAGGCTTCCTGAGTTTCCTCTGTGTCCTCCTCCCATCCTCAGTGACTTTCATAGGAGCATATAAAATCCCTGGAACTCCATAGAACTTAATGCAGAGCATAGTGTCAAGCATAAAGCTAGACTAGGACAGGAGTTATTGGCAAGGAGGGAGGCTTTTCAGGAATCCTTAAATCACAGCCTGTAAGTAGTTGCCTACCTTTGGTAATATTGCTTTGCTTATCCACAACGTAATTTACTAGGAGTTTCATGGGAAATGAATAGACAGAAATCAACTGCAGTTTCCTTAGCGTCACTGTAACTCTGATTAGCAATGTGACTCAAGTGGCCCATGCATTTTCTGCAGGTGGTGCCAAAGCAGTGATTTGCACCAGGATATCCATAGGAAACAGAAGGGAAACCATGATTTGCTTATGGGTGCTCTACTCTGTAGAGCCAAATAGAAATTTTTTAATTGTTCTTTTGATTGCTGCTGCTGTGCTGCTATGATTACTACTTCATGTTTTCTCGTTCCTCCCTCTCCTTTTTCTCTTATTTTCTTTGTTAGTAATAGAACAAGACACTGCTCAGTAGTGTAGCTAGATGCTTTGGTTTCTTTTATCACTGATATGTGCAAAAGCAGTTGTCAAACTTATTTCATGTGCTACAGCATGCTCTTCTCTCAGGAAGAGGAAATCCAAGAGTAATGAAAGCCTCTGCAAGGAAGGTAAAGAAATCTTAGCGGATATGTTCTACCCGTTTCATAGCTGCAGTACTGCAGTGTTTTAGGTTCTTCGTAGGCAGCTGATAATATGTAAATACCCCGTGTTGAACAAATGCAGCCATCCAAGACCTATGAGGCTGCAGCTTCTTTCCCGATCCTGCTCCAAGGTGGTGCTTTGCAGCTCCTCCAGACTTCTCTGGCAGTAGCAATACTTTATTTCTTCTCACCTACCTGACACAATTGATTCAAAAATGATACCTCAGCAGGGGAAACCATTCCTCAGAAGGGGAAGGTTGCCAGCAGTGTCTAAGTGTATCCTCAAGAACAGGCACTCAGGGCCTTTTGCACTTGGATGCGTTGATAGGCCATTTGACAAATAGGCTTAGTTGTATTACGTTTCTTTCAAACTCAAACACAGAAATTATTCATGCACATGCTCCTTCCAGTCTGTCCTTTGTTGAGAGGCCTGAGCTTTCCTATCTTAGATCCTGCATGACACTGGCAGTCATGAAATGTAGATTCCACTCATTGATCTCCCTCCATGCAGTCTATTTTTTATCATGAGAGGAAAAAGAAAAACTTTAAAAGTTTTATTTTATTGTAACTTTAAACTGGTACGGACTGTCAGAGAGGCTGAATTGTGTTCTGCTTATAAGCATGAGCTCTGAAGCCAGACCCCCTGGCTCTGCTGTGCCTTAATTCACTGACCTTGGGCAGATTTCTCACCAGTAAAATGGAATTAAGAATAGGACCTGTTTCATAGAGTTGTGAGGGTTAAGTGAGCTACTGTTTGTGAAGTGCTTATAAGAGCACCTAGCAAATGTTATATTCCCATTAGCAGCTTTTGCTGCTTTTGTGGTTGTTATTATCATTGTTTCCTGGGTGTAAAAGCTGAACTTGCCTTCTTTTCCTTCTGGAAGATTTGGGCAGAACCTGAGTAGCTTAATCTAGACTGGCGCCTGGGATAGAAGCCTAAAATGCATGGCCCCTGAAAATCTAGGCACTTTGGCAATAGGGAAAGAATTCCTGTTTTCAACTTACATCTAAGTTTGGATGTTGGTCCTGCCCCTTAGCCCCTTGAGTGATAATGTAAAAAGTATTTTAAATGGAAGAGAATAATGCCTCTGTTGTAAGATTCTGAAACAGAAATGACAGAATAAAGAGACCAGTTCTTATTATATACTCAAAATATTGGAGCTATTATTATTATTATTGTTATTTGAAGAGACAATCTAGCCCACCCTAAGTCATGCAGATACGGAGCTACTTGGGGAGTGGGAGAACTGTTGATAAACTTTGTCAGCCTATTTGATATTTAAGATGAAGTTTTAAATTTGCTTAGTAATAGAAATATTGCAATATTTGCTGTATTTATGTATATATTATATCTACCCTCTTTAATACTAGGGAACTCTTCAGAACAGACTGTTAACATTTCTTTCTTGTCTTTTGAATTGAATGTTACAGAAATCAGCTCTCAGGAGGAAGTGTGCAGTCTGTAAAATCGTCGTTCACACCGCCTGCATTGAGCAGCTAGAAAAGGTAAGAGCGCGCCACCTGCTGCACTTTTGTTACATTACAAGTATTTGGTCTTCGGAGAGCCGGTGTAAATTTCTAGTTCCAACTTTTTGAAAACAATGCCCTTTAAAAAAAAAAAGCTGGAAGTTCAACATTATTACCAGATTAATCATGGAAAGACAGCTTTAAGAGTCATTCACTGTCTTGTTTGCTGAAGAGTAATTTGATATCCTTTTATGTGGACTCTCAGGAAAAGGAATAATAACACAGTTAGATGGAAAAGCCTGGTGTGTGCTGATTCTTTCATTATATCATCTCAGTTCAAGTATTACTATTCGCCCATGAGCTTTTCCACAAGCTGTTTTTTTTTAAAGAAGGAAAAAATTCTATAAGCTCTTTTTAATTGTTGTTCAAATGTATCTGACCTGTGTGGCTTACTTCTTCCCAAAGTGGCTCCAAGGGAGCAAGCAAGCTAGAAGCCAGCTCTCAGTCACCGTGCTCCTCCTCTTGCTGCTCAAACGTGTGGGTGGGGCTGGAAGTGGCATCCTCGTGGTGTTGTGCCTCCAGAATAAGTGGATTCGGCTAAGTTCATTTATTTGTCATTTAAGGGACGGGAAAGGCTCCAATAGTGACTTGTCTGCCATCTTCTTCCCTTTCACTCTTCTCACTCCATTTTCATGTGTATTATCTATGTTCTCTGCGTATTATCTATGTTCTTAAGCTGTCGTGGGTAAATGCATTGGAATATTTTAGCTCCCCATGACATTCATTTAGTTTCAGTGACCTGACAGTCAATCCTAATTGATATCTTGTGTCAATGACTACCAACATTTTATCTTAATATTATCTTTTCTGTCCCAACTTTCCTGACTCATCTCTGCCTTCATTCTTTTGCTCCTTTCACTCTATCGAGTAGCAAACCAAGATGTAAATGTGCCCACTAGGATACTACCACCTCTAAAAGAAAGGCAGTGCTGAATCCTTTTATAAAGAATAACTCTGTTGACCTCGAGTTTATATTTTCTAGTTTTACAATCCAAAACTTAGCTGGGTAGTTTCAGCTGCCAATATCTTTCCTCTGGGCTGTTTCTTATCTCAGTTTCTCATATTTGTGGTGTAAGAACATTATTGTTTAAAGGTACTTAGATTTCATCCGTGAGAATGAAGGAAAGGGGTTGGAGATGTAGAATCACTTGGGCTCTCTGTTGATTAATGTGATGATTTCGAAAGACTAAGAAGAGTATTATTCCTTGTTCTTTGGAGGTTTTGTTTTGCAGTCTCAATATCTGTCACTTTTGTTGTTTTTTTTCTTTTTCAGGTAATTCAGTCTAGTCTGATGCTTATCTCTAATATAATATACTTTTTTTTTCAAATGACAGATTAATTTCAGATGTAAACCAACATTTCGAGAAGGAGGCTCAAGGTCGCCAAGAGAAGTGAGTATTTCAGAGCTTTATTTCAAGTATCACCTTTGATTTCTCACTGATTTAGTGGATTCATAGATATTCACCAGAAAGTGAAAAAATAAATTCTTTCTCCATTGCACATCAATTTTTTGTTAACACATCAATAAATACCATCAATAAAATCTCCAAGTCTTCTCAACATGTACACACTGCACTTTATTATCATAAAATGTCCTGGGGAGTTAAGGTCTTACTGAACGAACCAGAGGCTAGGGGGAGGTGGTAGTGATAGAATTCAAGGGGTGAGAAATAAATAGACTTTTATTGTTTTCTGGTTGTTTTTAAGTTTATTATTCAATTTTGAGCGGGTATAAGCTATTCATGGGGCAGCAGAGTAGCTGGTTATTCACATAAGCCCTGGCATCAGATGGTTTGCTTTCAAAACCAGCCTTGATGCTGTGTGATCTTGGGCGTCTCACCTAAGCTCTCTAAATCTCAGTGTTTCCATTTGTTAAGTAAATAAGTAAATACATCATAGGCTAGAACTGCATTCAGTTCTCAGTCCCTGAGCCTCCAATCTGGTCGTGAAGATAAACAGGTAAATAGGAAATTAGAATGAAGAGTTGTTACCGATGTGTTAGTGGGAAGCAGAGGTATGACAAGAGAAAACAGCACGTCTTTGTTAAAATTTTATTTAGAGGAGACAGCAAGCGCAGTTCGGTCAAAGATGGAGAAGGCAGGGAGGGTTCTCAGCCTTCCTGTGTTATTCTGGACAGTTCAGCTCCAGGCCCAAAATTGCACTCCCCAGTCAGTGAAACAAAAGCCTGCAATGAACAGAACCCATCCTCCTAGAATGTAGATCAGCCTGCCCAGCAGGCACTCATTCACTGCCTCCCAAACACTGCCATCTGATACGGTATCCTCCTTAAGACAAAGTCTGGTAAAAATGATTTCTGATAAGCATACTTTCTCAGGGAGACAAGTTTCAGTTCCACTTACAGAATTACCCCTTGGAAACCTCCCTGGCTGGTCTCTACTCCTCAAATAAGCTCTGTGTAGTAACAAATAGGAAAGAGAGGAAAGGAATCAGAGAAGGGGCTTCCTGGAAGAGGTGGCAATTAAGCTGAGACCTTAAGGAGCTAACTAAGTTAAGTGAGAGGAGGGTGGTTAGGAGGTGAGTGGTGAGAGCCTTTTGGACAGAAGGAAGAGCACACAAGTACAAGTGAGAGACAGCAGCATGCTGAGTAGGATGTGAGATTTGAGATAGCAAGAGCCGGACCAGGAAGGTACTTGTTGAGTGTTTTATCATCGGGATAGTTGGGAGGGGGTCATTAAACTGCTTCAAGACAAATATTGTTCATTCTGCACTGTGGAGGAAATAACATGCAGGTCAAGAGTTGGAGGCACAGAGAGAACTTTCAGAAGCTATGCTAGTAATCTAGGCAAGAAATAATGGTCACATGAACTAAAAATAACATGGGTACATATGAGTTTGAAGGAAACAAAATTGACAGGATGTAGTAATTGATTGGATTTTGGGCAAAAGAGGAGCCCAGACTAAACTGAGCTACTGCTGAAAAACAAACAAACAAACAACAGATTAGCTGTTGGAAAATGAGTTGATTTGAGGATGGGGTGGGGAGGTAATGAGTTTAGTGGTAGAAGGGTGAAGTGTGAGGTGTGCCTGTTGTCCTCAATTGGAGATGCCCAATAGAAGGTTGAGTGGGTATATGAGTTTGGAGCTTATGAGGAAGACTGGACTGGAGGTCAGGCATTATGAGTCATCAGCATATTTACACAGTAAAAGTCATGAGAAAGATGAAGATGGAGAGTAGGAATAGGAGATACCTGAGAATAACAAGTGTTTAAAGACAGTTGATGAAAAAGGACAACATGAATATGAATGCTCTAATTGTTAGTGACAATGAAAAGGATTGGGAGAAAATATGGAAAGAGAGTAGGCTGGGGTGAAGTCGTAGAAAGAGAAAAACATAGTTTTCCACATCCGGTGTCTTCTCCCACTGTGTTTGTCCAGCATAGCAGCCATAGGAAGGTTGTGGGCCCTGCGCAGGGTGAGAAGAGCAGGAGAAGAATGATAGGGCTGTGGTGCCTCAGTGCCACCCAGAGTGCAGACAGCCTGGGCCAGGAGATAACTCAGTGATAACTCAAATGAACGAGGTGCTTCATTTAGGAAACTTGAAGGGATAGCTTCATGTTAAAATGGAGTTTATGACTTTCTGACCAGGGGATTCATATACCTGCCTTTAGCTTCCTGCCCTCCTATATGTATCTCTCTCTGTAGATAGGTCAGTGTGGAGGCAGGGGAAGAGAGAAAGAGAGACAATTTTAATTGTGCAGTTTTTCTAATACTAGATGCTTTTGGTTTTTATTAGCCTGTACCACTTCTCTGAGACTAGACCTTCCATAAGGGTTTTGGATATTCTCCCTTGTTTTCTTATCAAGGACTTGAAATTCCTTCCTTTTATATATTTTTATCCCCTCCCCTATCTCTAGATTATTTCTATCAGCATAAACACGCTCTAATATTTTCTATCATTAAAAAAAAAACATTTCTTAGCCACTAACTGTGTCTTACCTGCTGTGCTACTTCTCAGTTTTGTGGTCAAACTGCCAAGCTTCCAGAAAGTGTTAACTAGATAAATTATTTTCAGTGTGTCACTTTCTAGTCATTGTAACCTGTTCTGATCTGATTTCTACTCTATTCATTTACTGAAATTGCTTCTTTTTTCAGTGTTGCCTGTGATCTCCTATATGCTACATGTTTTAGGTATTATTTATTTTTCTGTTCTTTCCTTATCCAGTCTCTCAAAAAATTTAAGGTATTACATATTCCATCCTTCTTGGAATGCCCTCCTCTCTTGGCTTCTCACATCATCCTTTCCTAATTTTCTTCTTGCTTCATTGGGTAGCTCTGCCCATTCTTTCTCCTGCTCACTCCCCCAACCTCTGCAGATCCCTCGGAGCTTAGTTCTTGTCTGTGTTCTCTTCTCTCTGCCCACTCCTGTTAGGGAAGCTCATCCAGTCTCAGAGCTTCAAATACCATGTGGGCTGACGACTCCTAACTTTACATTTCCAGTCTGCATTTCTTGGAGTTCCACTTGGCATGTCCCTTGAATGTATCTTAAATATGATACATCAAACACTAGACTATTTCCTTCACCATAAAAACAATTTCAAAACAATCTTATGCATCTCAGGAAATGAGATGGCTGTTGATCTGGCTCCTCAATTGAGAAACACAGACTCCCCACATCTAATTCATTTGCCAGTCCTTTCAATTTTATTTATAAAATGTATTTCAAGTCCATTATCTACAATTCTATCACCAGCACCTTAAACTAAGGTACTGTGACCTCTCCCCTTTGACCAATGAAATAGCTTCTTTGTGATTCTTCAGTTTTCACTTTCAATCCACCCATGATTTAAAGGAGTGATCTTTCAAAATGAAAAGTAGATTATTAGGTTGTTGCAAAAGTAATTGAAAGTAATGGCAAAAACAGCCATTACTTTTGCAACAACCTAACATAATATTCCCTGGCTTAAAACTCTCCAGTGATTTCCTTAGCTCTTAGAGCAAAACCAAACCCACTGACTTGGCATGAAAAGGGCCACATCGTCTGGCCCTTGACTGCCTTCCAGCCCCCACATGGACTTCCTTTCCATTTGTGAGGCATACACCAAAATATTCCCCACCTTTGAATATTTGTGTTTTTCATTGCTGTACTGAAAATCTCTTTGCATGACTGTTTCTTACAGTTAGGAGTGAGTTGAAATATCCCCACACAGGCATCGTCTTGGTCTTTTCAGGCTGTTGTAATAAAATACCATGGACTGGGTAGCTTATAAGCACCAAAAATTATTTCTTACTGTTCTGCAGGCTGGAAGTCCACGATCAGTGTGCCAGCATGGTCCAGTTCTAGTGAGGGCCCTCTCTGGGGTTGCAGACTGCCACCTTCTCATTGTAGTCTCATGTGGAGGAAAGAGGGTTCGAGAGCTTTCTGCAGTTGCTTTTATAAGGACCCTGATTGCGTCCCTGAAGAGTCTACCCTCAAATACCTCACCTCCTATTACCGTCACTTTGGGGTTTAAGATTTCAACATATGAATTTTGAGGGGCCACAAATTCCAGTCCTTTGCAGAGGTCTTCCTTAACAATCACCTTTAGATATATAGCATATTGTTCTTTATCAAAGAGGGCACTTTTTATGCCATAATAATTTATGCATATTACTGTTCACTTGTCTAAAGAATGTCTCCCTTCTTTAGGGTAAACTTTGGGAGATCACTCATGGAATTTGTTCTAAATTAATTGCACCAAAACACAGAGTATGTGATTGATGGATATCTGCTGATTGAATGCATTTACAAAGGTGTTCATTTCTCCCAAAATGTTTAGGAACTCTTGATCTAAAAGGACATTTTGGAAACTTATGACTCACTGACTGTGACCCATTTGATATTCTTAATTAAAAATTAGGAATTCTTACTACTACTAATTTAGGTGTTTACTTAGTAAACGGAAGAACATTTGCTTTAGAATTAGTATGACCCTAGTTCAGATTATACCTCTGCTTCTTTTCTACCAAGTGGTGAGAGTCTCTGGAGCATGGATTGTTGGTCACTATGCCCTGGCATTTGTATAGTGCCTGACATGTGGCAGCTTTTAAATAGATATTTGTTGGAGTCCTCTAAATTGAATCTTTCTGGATCTCCTTTTTCTTTGTCATAAGATATAACAAATTAGGTTATGATTTCTAAGATCCTTTCAAACTATCAATGATTAATACATATGTGTGTATGTATATATTTTAAATTTTTTATTTCCATAGGTTTTTGGAGAACAGGTGATATTTGGTTGCATGAGTAAGTTCTTCAGTGGTGATTTGTGAGATTCTGGTGCACCCCATCACCCAAACAGTATATACTGAACTCAATTTGTAGTTTTTTATCCCAGTTTGATTGACTGTTTGAAAATAGCCGAACAGTCGTATTATGTATTTTTGCTAACAATACTGAATACAAGCCCTGAAATAATGCATTACTAATATTTTAACACCCAAAAGTAATAGCCCTTTCCTTGCCCAGTATTTGAAGTTGTATATGAATAATTCAGAAGTTATCAATGACCAATAAAAAGGTTTATGGTGTTAGGAGCCTCACTTTCCTATCTTAACAGCAGTGTGTCAACATTTACATTTGCAGTGTTAAGGATCCTGAGTCCAACATCAGTTCAGCAATTTAGGAGATCTTAATAATGGTCAAAAGCAAAGAGTGTGAGAAATTAAAGTGCTTGGGATATAAGGACTAGAAATAGCAATGATTCTAGAGTAATGCTTTTTTTTCTTATTGATGAAGGCAATTGATGATCTTCCCCTCCTCCATGGTAACTGTGATTTAAAAGTCAAAGAAATTAAGTGGATAATTCCATTCAGTTCAACACACATGTATTAGATGTTTGCTTTGTTCAAACTATGATTAAGCAGCAGTAGAATAAATTTATATTTGGCTTTGGAAGAACTCTGAAGAGAAGGATGGCAGACATCTCCTGTCACAGAGCTGGAGTTTGAAGACAGTTACTCAATTTCTTCTGCGATAGTGATTTTGTACAAGTTAATTTATCAATCCATGCCTTAGTTTTCTACTTATTTTCTAGGAAGGATGGTATTAAAAAAAATTTAATAAATGGTAGAGCCATAGAGAGTAATGTTTAAATAATAATTTAAAAACATTCTTTTTTTATTCCCCAACTAAACTATATGACATTATACATCTGCTTGCCAAATGATACTCAGTAATTCTCTCTTATCCATGATTTTCAAGGTTTCAGTTATCCAAGGTCAACCACAGTCCAACAATATTAAATGGAAAATTCCAGAAATAAACAATGCATAAATTTTAAATTGCATGCTGTTCTGAATAGCATGACACAATCTTGTGTCATCCTTCTCTGTCCTGAGATATGAATCACCCTCTGTTCAGGGTGTCCACTACCTACCCATTCGTCACTCAGTAGTTTTCTCAGTTATTAGATTGAAGAATCATTGTACGTATAAAGTTTGGCACTATCCATAGTTTCAGTCATCCACTGGGAGTCTTAGAACATATCTTCTGGGAAAAAGGGACAACTGGGTGTTGCAGTACACATGTTGAAGTCTGTCCTAAGATTTCTAAGTAATTGTTGATTTGTGAAAAGTGTTGGCTGATTCTTTTGAATAGAGCTGTCACTCGCTAAATGATCCCATGAGTCAGCCATGATTTCACACAGGTAATTGCATCAAGTGTTTCCAACATGTTCTTTCTTAAATTGATAGTCATTAGGTGGTTTGTAATCTCAACAAGTAGAGAATTTTTCTGAACATCAATGATATTGTTCATTTCCCCTCAGCTTCTGCTATACTAACGGCAATTATCTTACATTTTTCTATTAAGTATGATACTGACATTTTTATATATTCAATGTTTCTACTACTGACTGTCATTGAAATCATTTGTTGGTGTGTCATGCTGGAGTATTGTGAGCCCTGTCTTGTGGGACAGAGGAAAGGCACAGTGACACAATGGTAAGAGCACAGATTCTGCTCCCAGCCTGTCTAGGTTTGGACCCTCACATTAACCTTTACATTTTGAGTAAGCACCATATGTATTAGTTTCCTTATCTGTAAAATGAAGATGATATTGACCATTCAAGTCAAACCTTCTGATAATGTGGCCTACTTTAGGGTGAACTGGGATATCCTGCAGTTGGAGGCTGGCTCTGGTTCTCCCTAACTCTTATTTTTAAGCAGGCAGTGGACTAAGGTTCTCATCTTATCTCTTGAGTAGGCAGATGCCAGAGGGGTCGGCAGTAGCCTCAGTTGCAAGGAAAAGAGGTGGCAGATCCAGTACCTTCATCCTCAGTAGAATTTTTGCACTGAACTGATGAGATGGATACTGATAACTGGGCAGGTTATTGTGGCATTGCCGTCACTTTCTTGAAAGCCGCAGCCAGCCACAGGACCCAGGATTATCTATCCATGTGGATATTTAAGATTGTACAGACAGTTACCACCAGCTGGGCCCAGCCCAGCGTTCTGAGATTCTTTGGGGGAACCAGTAACACTGCGACATGATTTGTTTTCAGAAGAGAGAGATCACTGGAATAGGATCCTGGAGACCTCTCATGTCAGATATTAACGTCATAATTGCTTCATAATGAGGAGGTGGGAGTGGTCTTTAATGTTGAGGGGAGGTAGTGGATGCTGTGGCAGCAAGGGAGGAGTCAGGAAGATGGTGGGGGCACTGAACTGCAATTTACCAGTCCAGGTATTTCAATATTTCAACAATCCGTAGGGCTTTACTGATACATTCCGACTAAGTGGCATCTCTACTCCTGAAAATTCTCATGAAGATTAAAAGAACTATGATGGAAATAGATGCACAAACTATTACTTATAAAATGTTTTTTAAAGTGCAATGGCACACAGTACTCAACAAGTGTTAGCTATTATAATTAGCTTCTTTCTTAGAACAACCTAAGCTTGTATCTTTGTTTTATTAAACTGTGGTAGTAGGAAAAGCAAGACAAAAATCAGACTAAATTGTGGGACCATTGTACTCCCTTATATCTGATTATAGTTAAAAGACCATTATTCTTCCCGGGTCTTCGTTTAGTTTTAGTTTAAGTGGATTTGACATTATTAAGAGAAATAGAGGTGGCATTTCAGTATTGATAATGCTAATGCTTATTAGCGGTACTCTTGTCACTGTGAATTTCATGCCTTGACATATAACATTTTTTTCCCCTCTACACTGATCTATTTTCTGTCTACCTGTACTTACTAATAGAATAGTGCCTGGCATATAGGAAAAATTTGAGTAACTGAATATATATTAAAGTGGTTTTTAAAGGGAAAATAGGGACTATGGCTAGATCCTATAGTAGACATGTTAGTATTAGGTAAAGCGTGTTTTCACAGAAAAGGGCAAAAGAAAACAAAGAGTACTTTAGGGGTATTGATGTAAGAGCGATTAATTGTTTTTAAGTTATTAGGGTTTGCCTGCATTCTTAGTCCTGAGGATGATTTTCTTGTAATGTATCCTGAGAACTAGCAGTGAATGGCGCTACTTGACTCTGCCCCAGCAGTGCTTCTCTACTTTGGAGGAAAAGAACTTTCTGTATTTTCTGCAGTCTGAGACAAGGATAGACCATGGAAGCTAATCTCTAATAGTTCAGAGTGCCCAAGGATGGTTTAAACACAATACCATTGCAAAAACACCATCGATATGCTTTTATCTCTTGTCCTTGACATCTGTTTCCTTCAGCTTTGTTCTTTCTTCATCCTATCTGGTGAATAATTCTCACACCTAAGATCTTGCATTAGGAGATCTATTTCTGAGAGTTTGATTGACATTCTCTCTAGTTGGAATGTTTGATATAGGGCCTGCCTGCCACAGATAAAGCACTACACACCTATTTGTTAAATTGAACTGGATATTGTTGTTTCAGCTTCTCCCCTTCACCTTCCCACTTTTCTTCGGATATTTCTTTTACCTGCCTCAGTTACCTCCCAGCCCAAGGTCCTCTCCTGTGTTCACAAATCTGCAGAGTGTTTGACTAGTAAGAGTAGCGTAACAGCAATCTGGTATGGCCACTTGCCACTTTGAAGACATGGAGGGAGGGCATGAGAAATGGAATCTACAAATATGAAAGATCATCGGGGATGGAGGACTAACTTCATTTGTCCAAGTAGATTCATGTTTAATGTTAAACAAGTCATATCCATAAATATTTGTTTCTGGGCTCATCTGGGCTTAGATCTTGGTTTATATAAATCAGTGGTATTACAACATTATAAAGTGAATATTGAGGTTTGCAAATCAAAACATATTCAATCAAGTGCAGTAGCTCATGCCTGTAGTCCCAGCTTTGGAGGATTGCTTGAGCAGAGGAGTTTGAGGCTGCAGTGAACTATGATTATACCACTGTACTCTCGCATGGGTGACAGAACAAGACCCTGTCTATAGAAATAATTTAAAATATTGATTTAATTTTGTTTTCCCACAGAATTTTGTGCGTCATCACTGGGTGCACAGGCGTCGGCAGGAGGGGAAGTGTAAGCAGTGTGGTAAGGTAAGAGCCCAGCCACTTCATGGCCTTGCAGGAGGCTCCCCAGGCCTCTGCAAGCACCTGATGTAGATGAGTCCTGTCCCCAGATCCAGTGCTCATTACATCAGTTCCTTTGTGAAAGACCTTACTTGTCCAGGTTTCCTTAAGAGGCATTGTAGTTGTTCTAGAACTCACTGTATGAGGCAATGGTAATTAGCTCATTTTAAGATACATGGATGCATTCTTACAGTGAATTTCATTGATGATTTTTGAAAATATAACTGTTTTGTGAAAACTCCCTTGTGAAGACAACCAGCCCATCATACTTTGGTCGGTAGCAGCAAATCAATGGGTTTGAGCAATGCTACTTTTGCTAATATATAATTGTGTTTGGGCAGAACTATTTAGGGCAACAAGCTCAGAAGCTAGAAATGTGTTGCTCCCTTGGGACATTATCCAGTTCATGGAAGAGATGCCCTTTTTATTTGTGGCTATTTATATCGACCTCCTCTGTCATCATGACTGGTTATAGGCCCCACAGGATGCAGTGTCACTTGGAAAAGTGAGCTGGGGCAAGGAGTGGGGGTGTCATGACTGTATACTACTAAATGCCATAGATTCCATGTGTCATTGACCCCCCAAAATTTGGGTTATAGCGTTTTTCCAATGTACAAAGATCTACTTTAAGGATGACAGGATCCTCTGGGAGGGTTACACTGGTGCTGAATCTCACTATAAATATATTTAGTGAGAAATGTATATATAGTGAGAATGATGAATCAAATATATATATATGAGATTCATCATCAGCGTAACCCTCCCAGAGGATATATATTTATATTGATATTTGCCACCAATTTTTTTAATGACATTAAAAAATATTAATAGTAAGCTGATGGTCGTCAGTAAAGGGAAGTTTTGATTTTGTGGAGAGGAAGATAATATTGGGGAATATATTCCTCAATACTTATTCATCTGTTTGTTTATTCATGTGACTCCTTTGGGTCAAGCATTGGTGTGAGCTGCCCAGGACAGCATTTTTGACAGTAGAGCAATGCAAGGAAATATTGGCTGCCTAAGGTAGGGTTGTGGAGGGTGAGGGAGACTTGGAGAAATTGCATTGATTTTGTTGTTTTGCCTCATGCCTGGGAAGAAAATATGCTGTAACCATTGGTTATGAAGTTCTTCTCTGGAAGGCTACACACCTTAGCCTCCAGGGCTTAGGCCCCATTGTAACCAGTATTTTGTCTCCAGTTCAACCCAGTGGCTCTCAGTTGGTTTTCTTTTAGCCTGTAAAGAGGATGAAAAAACAGGGTGAAAGTAGGATGAGGTAAAACAAAGAAAACAAGGAGAAAGGGGGAAGGAAAAAGATTTGTCCCAATTCTTACTGGCCATCTTACATGTCCTGGGGAAAAGGAAGTCACACTTCTACTCTCACATGACCTTTCTTTCTTGGGTCCATCTACCTCTTCCAAGGTGTTGCTTTGGGGCTTATGGATTTTCTCTTACTTCATGAATCATCAACTGTAACTTTACCATAAATGTGTGTGTGTGTGTGTGTGTGTGTGTGTGAGTGCATGCGTGTGAGTGGAAGAGAGATGCTGCAGCCAGGCAGGCATAGCCATTTTTTGGGTCAGAGATGTGAAGAGTAGTAATAATCTGGATGAATAGGTCCTTCACTTTGGAAAAATATCTTCACTGGAGCCCAGTAGCTGGCACCACCTCAATAATATAAGCCATAATGGAGTGGGAGGGATTTTATTAAAAGAAAATCAATAAACATTATATACTTCGAGACAAGTGTTCCCTAGTGCCATATTGCATAAAACACCAAGTTGTCTGTAGTACTTCAAAGAATCTCTCTCCTGGCCTCATGTTGGCATGGTCAACAGAACGGGAAGAACTGGGCTTCCTCTACCATTAGTTGCTGTGTCTCTTTTCCTGCCAGTGTTCTCAGCCAGCCATCATGCTGTGTTCACAACTCACTGCACGTCAGTGGTCAGCGGGGAAGTCAGTGATCCCAGCTCGTCATGTCATGTTTTCAAAATATTGCACTATTATACTCATCTCTTGTGTTTATAATCCAGCTTCTCCATGAATTCAAGACTCAAACAATTATGGGCTGGGTGGGATTGTCTCTTTGCCAAATAGTAAATTACCCTCCCTCGAGTCCCAACTTCAACTCTGGACTAGAGGAAAGCTGTGGCTCTATTTCTGTTTACCAATTAAGTAACGAAAATTCACTCCAAATGTTGGTGCTATATATAATTTTCATCAATAGTGTTATATATTCTAATATATTCATAGACTTTTAAACCTCACTCCATCCCCCATGTGCGTGCACGCATGCGCGTGCACACACCCATACACACACACTATTCCAGAATTTACTCATAGGGTTGGAGTGAAAAATAATCGCTTCATTTAGCACATTTTTTTTTTTTCCCCAACTGATGTCTTGCAAACTTTACAAATTTTTTTGGGAAGTGTTTATGGTTAAAGAGTGTTCATGCTTTTAATTTCTACTTTTAAAATCAACAATAAAATGATGTTTGGACTGATTTTCTCTTGAGCCTTAAATACGTGTTTGGCTGAGTGTGTGGCATTTAACAGAGATCAGATGAGATAAATCATGATTTAATTGCTCAGTTCATCTAACGTTAGCTGAATGCCTCAGGCTACCAAGTTTATAACCCTTCTGCAGTTTTTCATTGTCATTCATAGTCCTGTATTACACAAGAGTCAGGGTCAAGGCAGAAAAGAGACGAAATGCTCACGTTCAAATTATGTAATTTGACAAGAGTTTGATGAAGAAAATATTTAAATTGTGTGAAAAGCATGTGGGGAACCCACAAGAAACAATGGAGAATACTGTGACTAGCAGTGTTAGGGAGCTATGGTCAAGCTAAGTCTGAAGAGGTACGGAGGTGGAGAGGACCCCTTCCCAGGAGCTGCAACCATTAGTCACAGGACTCAGCCAGCCTGTGGTGACCTACAGGCTGGGGAAATAAACCAGTGAACCTACCTTCAATTTCTAGTGGCCAAACCCATCAGAAACAGAGCAGAAGGGATTCGTTGATGCAGTCCGTAAAAGCCAACTCTTTACAATGAGTCATTGAGTAGAGGAGGACGGAGAGTAGAACTGGAGAGGCAGATGAAATTGATCTAGCACATACTGTTTAATGCAAACCTGTATTCAATAAACGGTTAGAGGCAGAATGCATTCTTACACTGTAAACATGTCTCCGATCTTCACTAGATCTACACATTGCATTCATTTGATCAAAATTTAGAAAACACCAAGTTGTCTGTGGTACTTCAAAAAAATCTACATGCAAAAATGTATGGTATTGATTATGGCTACTTTGACTCTTCATTTTTTGAAGGAACCAAGCATCCAAACCTAGCATTATGTTTGTAAATCACAACTCGAAAGCTTATTTCTTCATCTGAAAAAGTTATAAAAATAAACAAGGTAACTTTTTAAAAATCAAAATTAAAAAATTTCAAACATCAATTCTTGAAAGCAGTTTTAAATGCAGCATACACATTGAGTATCCCTTATCTGAAATGCTTGGAACCAGAAGATTTTTGGATTTAGAATTTTTTTCAGATTTTGGAATAGTTACATATACTTAAGATATCTTGGGAATGAGACCAAGTCTAACTATGAAATTCATTTATGTTTCATAGTGCACCTTAAACACAGAGCCTGAAGGCAATTTTATACAATATTTTAAATAATCTTGTGTATGAAACCAAGTTTTTTCTATGAGCTGTCATACGAGGCCAGGTGTGAAGTTTTCCACTTGTGGCATCATGCTGGCACTCAAAAGGTCCCAAAATGGCGATATGGTCCCAAAACGTTCCAGGTACATAACGAAATCACCCCTTTGTCCCCTGTTCATATGATGCTCGGAGACAAATGGCTTCGGTCCTTCTCTCTCACGTTCTCAGCAGAGCTGATTCTGCTTCTACATATTTATCCTCCTCCTTGCAGAATCTGGCCCAAGTCACGTGTCTCATGATAAATCTGTGGTTTTGATTCCAGTCTTTTTATGGGACTGATCTCATCATGTATTTCATATGTTCTTGCTCTCTATTTGTTGCCGAGTTTGACTGAAGCATAAACTAGATATTAGCAAGTAAAAACATTTTATCAAAATGACTACTTTAAATATAGTAATTTAGGCATAGATGAACACACAATCAGAAAAGCAAATCCAACCATTTTGGAAATCTTCGTGTTCTTCTCCTATTTAGAATTCCTGCCAGATAGATGAGATCATGTATGTAAAAGAGTGTGGAGTAAATGTGCTCCTCATATTTGGATGCCAGTTGTTGAGAGCTAGTTTCTTCATGCAAAGCAAATCAATTATAGGCTATGTACAAATAGCCAAAAAAATTGTAGTATTTTTTAAAGAGAGAAATAAGAAATATACAACTTCTCTGCCTTTTAAATTAGTTACATAGAAAACTGATAAATTATAAAAACATATAAATGTAACAATATCTCTCCATAAAATATATAATCAACATGTTATTTTAGATATTATTTATATATGTATATGTGTGTATATATATATATCCGTATATGTACATATATATGTGTCTGTGTGTGTGAGTGCGTGTATATAGTTATTCTTGCCAGATAAGAGATTGAAAATTCATAAAAGGGAAAAAATTATTTACATATGTATATATGTGTATATGTGTGTGTACATATGTATCTTTGTGTGTACGTGTGTGTGTGTGTGTGTGTATTCTTGGCAGATAAGAGACTGAAAATTCATAAAAGGGCAAAAATGGAAAAAAAAAGCATTAGGGAAATAAAGAAAATAATGACATTTAAGGGAAAAATTGAAGGAGGAACATGAACAAAAATGTATTTGGAGAGGAAAGAAGGGAGGAAGAGGTGGAAGGTGAGAGACAAAGGAACAGAAAGGTCCAGAGAGCCACCAGCAGATGAGGAAGAACATCTGGAGAATGAAACGGAAGAGTTCTGGAGCCACCAAGCTGATATT